GGCTCCTAAACAGACCCGGAGAGCATTGGTATAGCGTGGCAGCTGGCATTATTTAAAACAAAAACAAACAAACAAAAAAAGGTGACATTATCCTAGGAAAGACTAGGGACATTACAGAAGCAGTAATATTTTCTGCAGCTGAGCTACCTTACTTTTAAAAACAGGAAATATGCTTCTGTTAAAGCACAGTCCATGTCAAGAGTTTAAAATGTTAATTTCAAGCTCCATCATCCTTAAAAGCCTTAAAAATCCTCCGCCATGAGTCCTACCATCTTTGCTATCCCCTGATGTCTGAGAGGAGCATTGTAGCTGCTTCCAGGATCCCGAAGGCAGAAGGTTCTTTGGATGATATCAGCGCTCAATCCCGGGGACCTGAAGCTGCTTGAATTCTCATGGCTCTGTTTGACGCATTCTCATTAGTGCAGGGATTCTTAACTTGAGGTCCATGAACTTGCTTTTCAATATTCAGATAACTGTATTTTAATATAATTTATTTCTACTATAATACTTTATATTTAGTTTATGCATTTAAAAAAGCAATATTCTGAGAAGGGACCCATAGGTTTCACTAGACTGCCAAAGAGGTCTATCAAACACACACACACACACACACACACACACAATAGAAACTCCTGTATTAGTGAGAGAGACAGTGAAGTGTGAAATTTAAATTCTAGACCCCTAAGTAACATTTTCTGAAAGGGTCTCCTTTGTTAATTGTAAAAAATTTTTAAAAATTTCCCAGGGGAGGAGTACCTTTTCCCCCCTAATGTGTTTACCTCTATTAGTGTGCCAGAGGACACAGTTAGTTCAAAGCAAAGGCTTTTGATAGAATAGCAAAGCAAGAAAAATAATACTAAATATTTCCTGCATGAACCTGGGTCAGATTCTCCCACAAATACACACACATACATAATCCTTAGGAAGAGCAGACACATATAAGAAACATACAGAGTATATGTATGACCAGGACATATGTGTAGAGGGCACATGGTTGAAGAGCTTTCTGTTTCCAACTTTTTTTAAACAGCTTTCCTGAAATGCAGACAATGATGGACAAAGATAGAGTGCTGGGCCTGGGGTGAGGAGACACCTACTAGCTGTTTGTGCCTGAACAAGTCACTGAACCTCTGATTGCCTCAGTTTCCTCATCTGCAAAATGAGGATAATAGTAGCACCTATCTTCCAGGGTTGTTGTGAGGATAAAATGAGAGAATATTTGTAAAGCACTTAGCGTAGTGCTGGCACATAGCAGGTGCTTTTTCCTGTCTCTTCCCCTTTCATTATTTCTTCCCTGGATATGGTCTCCACAATTTTCTTATTCTGCCTTAGAATTTACTAATGTAATTACGGTAGTCCCTTACTCATGTAAGGGACTGTTTCATTCTTTGTACTTGTGTTATATCTCCTTGGTATATAGTAGCTAGAACTCCAGTTAGGTAGTCTAGCTGTAGACAAAGCTGGCTAGTAGTTCAGTTTGACTAGAAAGTACAGTTCATATAAGAAAATAATGTACAATAACGTTGGAAAGGTAGGTGGGAGCCAGATTTTTGGAGGGCTTTAAAGGCCGGAGTAAAGAGTTTTTATTTTATTTTTGAGCAGGGGAGCAACATGATAATATCCATGTCTTAGGGAAGGTTATTTTGGCAGGTGTGTGAAAGATAGATTGGAGAGAGGAGAGACTGGAAGCAGAGAGACTAATTATTATTCTTATTAATGCAATCCAGGCAGGAAGTGAATTAGTATGGTGACCATATTGAGAAAGGAAAGACGCTCAAGAGATGTTGTGGAGGAAGAATTGAAAGGGGTAGACAACTGATTGGGTATTGAAGGTGAGGGAGAAGGAAGAGTCAAGTATGACTGCAAGGTGGCAAATTTGCGTGGCTGGGAGGTTGGTGATACCTTCAACAGAAGCAGGGAAGCTTAGAGCAAGAGGCAGATTTTGGAGAGAGGACGATGAGCTCGTTTTAGAGTTTGAGACCCCTAAGGGACATCCTGGAGCAGTCGACTGCTTGACTGAAGTTCAAGAGAGAGATGAGGAGCCATGTATACAGATTTGGGAACCGTTTATGTTGAGATGACAATTGAACTTATGGGAACAGATGAGCCCTTTGTGAAAATGTTTGTAGGGAGAAAAGAGAAGATGGTCCAGGACAAAGCCCTGGGCAACACTCACATTAAGAAGGCAGGGACTGAAGAGAGAGCTAGAGAAAGAGGCTAAAGAGCGCTCAGATGGGTAGAGAGAGAACCCAGAGAAAACAGCAGCATGGACGCCAAGGAGGAAGACATTGCCCAGAAGGAGTGCAGTCAACAGTAGCAAAAGCTGTGTGTATGGCACATAATAATAATATCTAGCAGTCATGTTACCCTTTAAGGTTTATAAAATGCTTTACAAATATTATCTCATTTGATCCTATGAACAACTGCAGGAAGTAGGCTATTTTATAGTTGAAGAATCTGAGGCAGATAATAGTAGTGAAGTGACTTGCTCATGGTCATAGGCCTAGTAAGTATCTGAGGCTGGATTTGAACGCTGGTCTTCCTGACTCTAGGTCCATCATCCTATCCATTGTGAGGAAGAATGGCACAGTGGATAGTGACCCAACCTCAGAATCAGGCAGGTCTGATTGTGTGACCCAGAGCAAGTCACTCTATCTGTCATTGCCCTTGACAAATCTCAGTAAATCAGTCAGTTGCAGAGCAGATACTCATCTCCACTAGGAGAGAGAGTTTCCATGTTGGGAGTTTCCTATTCCAATGAAATCACAGGTCCAGTTTTTTAAAAAAAAAAGACATGTGCTACTGACCTCAAAGATACAAAATATAGCATTAAATCCAAAATGGAACTATAGGATATGAAGTATATATATAAAATATTGATTTTAGAAGAGGGGTGTTATATAATAAAATTTAACAGAAGGCTAAAAAAGGAGTTTATTTATGTTCCCTTATGATCTTTTTTCCTACGCATTCATGAAGTTTTGCTACGTGAAATTGTAGCTAATGTATGTTATTCTAATTCTACTGTGCTGATTTTGCATGCCATTTTGCTGAATTTTCCATGTTTTTTGTATTCTTACTATTTATCCTTATTTATTGTATGATGATATTTCCATTATTGTTATACTGAAATTTTTTTCAGACAATCTCCAGTTGTTAGGTGTCACCATTAAGTTTCATGCCATTTGTTTCAGTCTGTAGCTCTAGCCTAGCAAGGTCTTTTCTTTTTTTTTTTTTTTTGATCCTCTAGCGTTAGCCATCCCCAGCTTTGCATCATCTGCAAATCTGATAAGCATGCCTTTTATGGCATCATCTAAGTCATTGCTAAAAATGTTGCCTACGGCACAGTACCAAAAGCCTATCCATGGAGCATCCTGCTAAGGCTTTCTTCCAGTTTATTGAATCATTAATAGAATAACCACTACTACTGTATGATGTCTCCATGTCGACTTTGGTTTCTGCTTTTGAAACTTATCATCTAGCACTATCATCTTTATGAAATCTTTCTTGATCTCCCCAACTACTAGTTCTTCCCAAACTACCTGGTATTTAACTCCTTATGTATATTTATGTTAAGTCATTTAAAGTTATGCTGTGTATGTTCTGTGTGTGTGTGTGTATATATATATACATATATATATATATATATATATATGTATATATATATATATTTATTTTCTATAGCATGTATATTCTGTATATTTGAATATAGATTTATTGTCTTCCCCATCAGAATGTAAGCTCTTCAGGAGTAGGAATTATTTCATTTTTTGTACTTGTATCCCCAGGACAGTGCCCAGCACAGGATAGGTGCTTAATGGATGCTTGTTGATTGATTGATTAATTTATTATCTAATTCTTCCTTCTGGCCGTTGATATATAGAATATTCCTACTCCACAAAATTGTTTCTGTCACTTTCGCCCCTGATTTTCATGCTCACTTTTCAGACTGATGAATTTTCTTGGTAGACAGTGCTACTTCACTGCCCCTTTTATATTATCTCAGCTTTAGAGGAGGGATTAAAGATTAGAGATCATAGAGATCACCTAATCTAATGCCTTCGTTTTACAGATGAAACAGCTGAGGCCCACCAAAGGGAAGTTATTTGCTCATTATCACAGGTAGTAAATGAGTAGAGCTAGGAATTTGAAACAGATCGCCTGACTTCAAACACTCTTTTCCATGACATGAGGCCATATTCCTCTCCTATTTTCACATTCCAATCATAAATCACATCTCACCAAATCTCAGTGCTACCTAGGAAATAGAATTTACCTTTTTGACCTCTCTGAGCCTCAGTTTCCTCATTTTGTAAAATAGTAATGTGGAATAATATTAACTGCTTGGCCTGATAGGGTTGTACTTTGCAAATCCCAAAATGCCAGATAGATGTGAATTATTTGTCGTTCAGTTGTTTAGTCGTGTCCAGTTCTTTGTGACCCCATGGACTGTAGCACACCCGTACCATCCTCAGAGTTTTCTTGGCAGAGATACTGGACTGCTTTGCTGTTTCTTTCTTCAGTGGATCAAGACAAACAGAGATTAAGTGACTTGCCCAGGGTCACACAACTAGTAAGTCTGAGGCCAGATTTGATCTCAAGTTTCCCTCAAGCCCAGCACTCTGTCAGTTGCTGCCTCACGATTATATAAAAGTGGCCAATGTCCTTTTTTTTTTGAATGATAATAATGATGATAGCATTTTCATAGCACTTTAAGGTTTGTGAAGTGCATTACATATACTGTTTTATTTGATTCTCACAGTAATATTATCTGTTCCCATTTTATATACAAGGAAACTGAGGGTGAGAGGTTAAGAGACTTGCCCAGGACCATATAGCTAATATGTGTCTGAGGCAGGATTTGAAACCAGGTCTTCCGGACTCCAAGCCCAGCACTCTATCCACCGTACCACCTAGCTGTGCCTGTGATGTTATAGTTGTGGGTTTTTTGGTTTTTTTTTGACATTTACTTTTACTGAATTTTGTTGTTTCTCTTTTAGTGGACTTAATGGAGATAAAGGAAATCCGCCCAGGGAAGAACTCAAAGGACTTTGAACGTGGGAAAGCCAGTCGTCAGAAAGAAGATTGCTGCTTTACCATATTTTATGGCACCCAGTTTGTCCTCAACACCCTGAGTTTAGCAGGTACATTGACTTTTTTCCCTGTAGCCTTGTCTGCCCTGGCCTCACCTTTCATATTTTCTTGTGCTAACCTTCCATGGGGTGGGGGTGGGGGGAACGTTCTCTAGACAAGTGGATTAGGAAGGCATAGTATTTTCTCTCATCTTGAAGCAGATAACACAAACACTTGGTATTTACCGGAAGGAAAATGCTTTAAAATCCTCATTGCTATTATTGTCTTCATTAAAGTCCTATCCTGAGGCCTCATCATGGCATAGAAGATGACTTTCCATTCTAAAAGCCATTGCCAAGGAAGAAATAATTCTGGCATGTTCTACTACCTTGAAAGGCTCCAAATTTGTTCCCAGTGTCTATAGTCAGAAGACCAACCTAGCCAGGTATGGAGAATGGATAACATCAAGGTTATCTACTACATCCTAGTTGTCTTGACTTTCGTCTTGCCATTGGACTTTTATGACTGTAGAATTGAGAGCGAGGCTGATGACTTTGTGCCATTCTGCCTCACTTAAATCCAATTCACACACAAGTCAAGCTATCACCCCATGATGTCTTAGTCCTCTTTGAAAACAGAGGACAAACAACAACTGACTAGTTGGGTAATTAGGTAAAGAATTCTTTGGCCAAGGCAGCCCATTAAATAGATAAAAATACAAGATAGCCCTCAGTCCTTTGTAACCCTTTCTGATTCTTTAGTGGCAGAAAGAATCAGAATCATAGATCTGCAGCTGGAGGAGACCTTGGAAGTCATTAGGCCAACCTCCTCATTTTACAGATGAAGAAATTGAGGTTCCCAGAGAGCTTAGTTAAATGACTTGCTGAAGGTTAGAGGATTTAAGTGGTAGAGCCGGGATCTGAATTCAGATCCTGTGATTTCCAAGTTCAGCATTCTCTCCATTGTGCCTCATTACTTCCTTATAAGGGAGGAACCCAAGGGTGTCAAGAATCACAGTCTACAAGTGTTAATTTAATTGTTGATTCTCCAATACGAGATTTCAATCCAACAACACATGAATTGATATAGCATTGGGAAGTCACACTATGTCCACATTGACATCGTTGCTAAAAAAATGTGAAAGAGGAGACAAAGCTCAATGAAGTCATGGCACCTGGGTCCCCTTAGTGAAATGAAAAGATGATTTGGATGAGTTGGTTTTGTTGGGGGCCTGAGGCCATCCTTTCCTGGGGCATTTAGTCTTCTTGTCATGTAGTGCCGAAGATGAGCACTAGCAGAGAGACTGTCCTGAAGATGCCTGCAGCTTCCGGGCTGCGGCATCTGTTCCAGAGGATGACAAATGTCAAGAAATTCTACAAAGAGAGAAGGTTCAAAGAGCAAGTCAGCGAAAATCTCAGGACTTGTTAACTTGTGTTTGAAAATAGGCACAGTAGATGAGAGAATGGCAAGAAATACATTGGAAAAATATGGTCCGAGATGAAGACATTAAAGAGGACTCCTTTCTCCAATCTGTCTTTTGCAAAGTTACCAGAATGCTTGTCCTAAATCACAGGCTTGACCATGTCACTCCTTTGCTCAAAATCCTTCAGTGTTTCCCTTTGGTGTGTAAGATAAGCTACAAACTCCTCAGTGGTATTTAAGGCCTCGTACAGTCTGGTGTCAGTTTACTTTTCAGACCTTATTTATGTTACTTCTCTTTGTGTACTCTGTGTTCTAGCTAAACTGGATCCCTTGCTATGTCACCTTGCGTCTATGTTACCACATCTATGTCATCTCCTGTCCCCATGCACTTGTGTAAGCTGTTTCACATATATGAAAAAAGCATTTAATAAGTGCTTACTATATACAAAGCACTGTTCTAGGCACTGTAAGATTATAGAGTGAAAAACAAGGCATGGAATCCTTCATCTTTGCCCTTCAGATTCCTAATATTCCTTAAAAGCTCAACTCCATGATGCTTTCTCTAAGAGACCAGCTGAGCACTTTGATCTCTCCTCTGCCCCTTTCACTTTCTACCATGTAGATTTATCAGTGCACATGCCCAATATCCCAATAGAATATAAAGTCTTTGAGGGCAGAAGCTTCTTATTTTTTGTCTTTGTACTCCCAGGGCAGCTAGGTGGTGCTGTGGATAAAGTACCAGGCCTGGAATCAGGAAGACTCATCTTCCTGAGTTCAAATTTGGCCTCACACACTTACTAGCTGTGTGACCTTGAGCAAGTCACTTAACCTTGTTTGCCTCCATCTCCTCATCTGTAAAATGAACTGGAGGAGGAAATGGCAAACCACTCCAGTATCTTTGCCAAGTAAAACCCAAATGGGGTCACGTAGCGTCAAACATTACTGAAACGATTCAGCAAAAATTCCCAGTGTCTCTTATGGTTTGTGCACATAGTAGGTTCTTAATAAATGCTTAATGAATTGAATAGAAGCCAGAGACTTGTGGATTAATCAGAAACTTCAATCATCCTTGTATATCATGAATACTTCTCTTAAGAAAAAAGTTGGAATGTCTGAACATGGTAAACACTGTATCATGAAAAAATGAAATCTATTACATTTGAACCAACTAGAAATTAATAGAGGTTATGGAAGTGTGAGTTATTTTCAGAATTAGTGGCCTGCATTCAGTCAGCTTGTCAGAGTTAAAATAACACCAAATCCAAAGAAAGTATAAAGATGAGAAGATGGCAGGCACTGTGTGTATTTATAATGACTCTAAACCAATCTAGTTAACTAATTTATTGATTCTGACCAAAGGAAAATGAATAAAAGTGAAGTCATTGAATCATATTATGACAATTTCTTGTAACCAATGAAAATAATCACCATAGTGAAGAGGTGAAAAGAGTCCGGAAGCCATCAGCAAGCAAAGAGTAGATCTTCTTGCCAAGGGGAGAGGCATGACATGCTTAGAATAGAAACTTATTTGAAAAAACATTACTGAGTACTATAATGGAAGATTATGAACAGGATTGACTTGCAAAACAGAGAAAAAAAAACTGAGTAGAAAATGAGCCAATGAGCCTGAAGAAGGTTTCTCATGAGATCAAACTAAACCAGATCATTTCTAGGACGATTTTAGACAAACCTGTAAGGGGGAAAATCAGCATGCATTGGAAGAGAACTGTGAGCATTTCTTGAATGATCTATTCTTATAACTAGTGACAGTGGAATCACCACATTTGGGCTCAGTTACCAGATGTACTATTTGAGGAAATGGCAATGGCAGTCAAGAAAATGAAGTAAGGAAGAACATCTGGGTCTGGCTAAATCCTTAAAGAAAAAAAAATCTGTCCTGTAGGCAACATAGTTATAAGGGCCCTCAGGGATTGAATTTCAAGAAGTGTCACAGGGACGATCTAAAAAGAATGGAAAAAATCATGAATGGTGCTATATTACTTTTTTATAAAGGGGACTTGAGAAGACATCAGTAGCTAGTGACTCAAATGCCTGTTTTCTCATCTCTGTTCTTGTTCAGTCATTTCAGTCATGTCCAACTCTTTGTAACCCCATTTGGGGTTTTCTTGGCAGACATACTGGAATGGTTTGTCATGGCCTTCCCCAGCTTATTCTGAAGATGAGGAGATGCAGTCAAACGGGGCTAAGTGACTTGCCCAGGGCCACACAGCTAGTAAGCGTCTGAGGCCAGATTTGAACTCAGGAAGATGAGTCTTTTTGATTCCATTGTGCCACCTAGTTGTTCCTTTCTCATCTCTGAGAAGTCTTTAAATATTGTCTTTGTATGTATCAAGTATATCTTTGATAAAATATGCAAAAAAATCCCATTCACAGTAACTGCAAAATGCACAAATATCTAGCAGTTAGTCAACAGGACACATTTAAGACTTACATAAATACAATGTCAAAACACTCTTTATGGAAATAAAAGAAGACTTAAATAATTGGAGAAATACTCATTGCTTATGAATGGGTCATGCCAATAAAATAAAAATAAAGATACTACCTAAATCAATTTACAGATTTTGTGTAGTACAAATGAAATTACCCTAAGGCTGCCCTGTAGAACTAGTTAGAACAGTAACAAAATTCATTTGGAGAAAAAAGAAATCCAAAATCTCAAGGTAAATAATAAAAAAAGTTGGAATAAAGGGGAAACAGAACTTCCAGAACTCAAACCATAGCCTAAATTATTAGCTACCAAGACTATATGACAGTAGTTAAGAACTAGAAAAATAGATCAGTGGAACAAAGAATCAGAAATTAATAAAGTCAGTAACCCAGTGTTAAATAAAGTCAAGAACGTAAACTACTTAAGGAAGGACTCCTTTTTCAACAAGACTTGCTGGAAGAACTGGAAGACTGGCAAAAAATAAGTTTAATACAGCATTTTATATCATATACCATGATAATTTTCAAGTAGACATTTGATATAAAATGTCACATAAAAACTTGGAAGAAAATGGTTGGAGAAACTTTTCAGTTTATGAATAGGAGAGAATTTAACTTTATAAGAGAAAGAAATCAGTAATGGTGAAATAGATAATTTCAGTAACAAAATTTGAAAAAAAAAAGCTTCAACATGAACAAAATCAGTGTAACCAAGATAGAAGGAAAAATGTCAATTGGGGAAAAATTTGTCTCAAATACTTCAGATAAAAGTCTGATATCTAAGATTAATAAGGAATGAAAACAAATATGTAAGACCAAGAACCATTCTCTAATAGATGAGTAGTGAAATAGTATGAACAAATAATTTTTTTTTTGGCCTAGGCAGTGGGGTTAAGTGACTTGCCCAGGGTCACACGGCTAGTGAGTGTTATGTGTCTGAGGCCGGATTTGAACTCAGGTCTTTCTGACTCCATAGCCAGTGCTCTATTCACTGCGCCCCTAGCTGCCCCAACAAATAGTTCTTAAAAGAAGAATTGGAAACCATTAAAAGTCGTAGGAAAGATTGCTTGAAATCACTAGGAATAAGAGAAATGCAAAATAAAAACAATTTAGTGTTTCACATCACACTTTCAAACTGGCAGATGGCAAAAGATAGAAACAGAATAATGTTGGAGGGGACTAGAGGAAGATAGGCACA